TACACTGAGGTAGGATGGTTTCTGTAACCTTGAAGGTAGTGTGCAAGCTCACAATAGATAGTCATCATTGTTGTTTAAAAAGTAATAAAATCCTGGGCGTTGGGTATTGGGCCATTCCATATTAAAAACAAATCATCAATATATCTATAGTAGGCCACCAGGCTCTCCACCCAGTCATGCCACCTCCACACGGTTCTTTCTTCTCATTCCGTCATAAAGAGGTTTGCATGGAGTGAGAAAAAAAAAGATGAAAAAACTAAATGTCCTATGAATGCTTGAGATGTACCGAGTGCATCAAACCAGGAAATTGAATCCTACACACCTGATTTTAGCAATTTAAAATATATATAACACATATAAACCAGGAATTGACAGGACTACCTACACTTCTAAAGAAGCCCAGCCAGGTGAAACAAGTAAAGTGTCGGTACTGGAAAAATTTACTCCCTATATACTCTCTTTATTTATATATAAATTTAAAATAAAGTATTTAGATTTTTAAAGGTATATTTCCATTTTATTACTTTTTTATTTTTTATCATTATATTCCTGTCATCATCTCCTGGTGTATCCTGCATATACTAGGTGGGGATAATACCACCCATGCTGTTCATACCAGAGCAGGCCATTACTCTGCATATTGTAAGTAGGATACTGTTTTTTATCCTTTACTTTGTGTATATACATACTATACCATAAGACCTTTCTATTGTATTTTCTCATATATACTGGACAGAAAGAACTATCAAGCAAAGCTACAAATATCCATAGACGGGGATTGTACCATCCAGGCGCATTACAGCAGAGCTCTTAGCAGCTCTATCTATTATGAGTTTGCACACTATATTTCTACCTCAAATAGTTAAAATAACTGTTACATATTGCACTATTATTTGTCCATTTATGTTTCCTTCAAGGTTACAGAAACCATCCTACCTCAGCATATGTAGATTGAATCAACTGATGTAATTATATTTTTTATGTTATATATTTCTGCAATATCTTATTGCTTTTGGGGCACGGTCTATCACCTTGCTTGTTGTTATCTTTTTTGTCAGTGAGATTTGGGGAATTCTCACAGTTTTACTGCTGCCCACCCACCTAACTTGTTTGCTTGAGTGCTTACTCCTATCTATATCTGTACCACTTCTGTCCCAGTCACCACAGCTTGACTGGGGTCCTTCTGGAGCTTTTGCACTCGACCAGGTAGATGTTGTCATCTCTGCCTATTCCGCTGAAGCCCTTCTTCCAGGCAGGTATCATCCCCTCTGCTTATTCCACTGCAGCTCTGCTTACAGTGATTATAGTTATTGCCTTTATACAGGCAATTGCCTATTTCAGGCCTAGCTCTCTTGATTTATCCCAGGGCTAGAGGGATCCTGCAACCAGCAAGCAGGTCAGAAGACTCTGTCACTAGGATCCCTAAAAATCTACACAGGACACAAGTTCCATAAGGAACTGACATACAAAACTTTATTTTTCTCGGGACTAGATTTCTCGGGTAACAGATTAAATCTCTAACAATGTCTGAGGATTTGTTGATATCTTTATACCTAAGTAGGTAAAATGTTCTTTTGCCTATGAAAAATCAAATCTTTTGGCAATGTTCGCTCTCATCTGAGAGTTTATAAACAAGGAGAGAGCATTTGATTTAGCAGTATTAAACTTTGAATTTAGGAATTTACTATAATTGTCTATCACCAGCATTAATTCATTAGATGAGCTTACTGGATCTTCCATAATTAAAAGAATATCGTTTGGGTAAAGTTTGTTTTTGATTTCCTTATTATCTTGGAAACCTTTTATATTAACATTAATTTTTATCATTATAGATAAGAGTTTTATGGTTAGAACATATACATGTGGTGATAGAGGACAACCTTGTCTGGTTCCATTATGTCAATCAAACCAATTTGAAGCTAATCCATGACTATGGATATTATATTCCCAGACTAGTTTGAATTCTCTGCACCCAATGACAGGGACAGCAAAGGAGACCTCCTGGTTTTAGAAATCGTATATACATTTGACAAAGTTCTAATGTAGCTGGAAAAAGATCAATCAGGTATTAATGCTGCTAGATCTATATGGACCAGGTCCACTATAACAGTTTTAACTTTCTGCGCTATCATTGCTGCATACAACTTTACATTCTCAATGTAATAATAAAATGGGTCTATAGCTTTTGACATCTTTAGAATTTCTATGCTGTTTTAAAATAGTAATAATGTTCCCTCTTAAGAGGTCTTTGGGTAATTAACCTTTATCAGAAAAATCATTATAAGTGTCTAACAAGTGGGGTGCCAAGACTCCCTTAAAGGTTTTTATGAAATAGCCTATCTGCACCTGAAACCTTTTTAGGGGCCAAATATTCTACTGCTCTTGGATCGAGAAGGGCATGTTAAGATTCTCCACCTGTGACTTGGAAATTTTTTTAAGAAGTTTGATTTTGAATGTAAAAAGCAATATTTTTCAAACATGAATTTATTTTATATTGTATAGATTGCTGTAGTACTTATCAAAGGCCTCAGCAATTTTATAAAGATAAACAGATTTCCTTATCTTAATTTTAGAGAGAGTTCTGCATTTATTCAATCTTCTCAGTTTGACTGTTAAAAGCTTATTGGCTTTATTGCTTTTGTAGTACCAAAAAGATGTTAATTTTTCTAGTAATTTTTTTATTTTAATTATTTTACATATTTACTGATCATTCATTTTTTTTAAACTTATTGATCGCTTGAGCAGTAATTAAAGATGGTTTAGATGTATTGATTGTAGTATGTTCTTCAAGTTTGATATATAACACAGAAAGAACATTTGTTCTATAAACTTTATCCTGCAACGTCAACTTGATGAAGTGACCCCTTTGTGGCGGAACCAACCTCGCCACTATGCACTGGAGAAGCCTGGTTGCCAGCCTCCTGCCATGTGACTATGGCCCCTGGGATGTATTGCCCTTTAAAGACATGATTTGGGCATAATGGATTTGTGTTGTGCTGCTGCTAGCCCTTTTAAGAACCATCTGGGGACATACTGTGGAGTTACTGGGTGGCCACCATTTCCTGTATCAGAAGCACATGGTGAGAACAATGGATGGCGGCCATTTTAACTCACAGACACTGTGTGGACTTTTCAACATGGTGCCATCTCGCCAGTATTTGTTGCACAGAGACATCGTGCGGTGGTTTTGGACTATACAGCAGGGGACACATTATACAGTGATTGTTTTTTATTTAGCCTGTATATGTTCTGCAGAATCTGCATTAAACTGTATTTTCCAAAGTACTGAACGGATCTGGGTGAATTTTGGATATGTGGTTCACCCAGATCCCCCAGTTCCAAGGATATATTTTTATGGGGTTATTGCATGTTTTGGGGTCCCTGGGATGTGTTTTATGAAACTGTATTTCTCTGGCTGTGATAATTAGATTACCCATTGTGTTCAGTAATCATATCACAGCCAGAGGGGAGGATTTTGTGTGGGAGTGTCTGGGTGTATTGTATGGATTGATTGGCTGTTTTGTAACGCCCTGTGGGCTGTACTATGTTTGTGGATTGAGAATAAAAGAGACTGTATGTGACAGTACAGGGAGTTCCTGTTTTAACCCTCAAAGTGAAGTGTCGTCTCATTATTGGGGGAAGGATTCATTGTATTCTGTTCCAGTTTGACTGCTAGGAGAGTAAACCTATTCGTATGGTTTCTATTCAACTGTCTACAGCATTCATATGCTTGGGAGAATTTATTTGTTTCTCCGGTTCGGTGATTGTGGTGTCTGCCAGAGTGCTTGGAGTCCTCAGGAAGCGCTAGGAGCATCCTTCAACGGAGGTACCCAGTCGGGGTGCCAGGTGATCCGTTACACCCTTATAATACATTTAAAGGCTGCCCAAGTAAAAGAAAGAGAAGAATCAGGAGATATATTTTCCTGAAAATATAGTAGTATAATTTTTCTACTAAAAGCTCTCTTTTGAGGAGATTCCAATAAATATTATTTAAATTTGTATGCAGATCTTAGTTTAACGAACTGAACTCTTGGGTCCAAAAAAACTAAATTCTTGGCTCTTTGTGCGATACCACAATCAATCAATTCTCGAGTATGAGAGAAAGGCTTTGCCAATACCACATATAGTGTCTTGATTCAACATTGAAGATTCACCAAATATCTAAAAAGGCTTTACTATGAATAAAATAGTGAAATCTAGTTGCCTGATTGAGGATGTTTGTATCTATTGTCTTATCTGAAAAGGACTGTCTGTCTATCTTAGGGTAAGTGACAGTTAAAATCTCCTAGCCAGATAACTGAGCCCTATTTTAACCTGTCCAGCTTCTCCCAAAAGTTAAGGATAAACTTAATCGATTAACTTTTTGGTGCATATATATTTTCCAATGTATAAGAGATTTTGTTTATATCACAAACCACTATAAAAATTCTCTCTTAATCATCATATTCAACATGCTTAATATCCAAGTCCAAAGACTGAGAAACAGAAAAGCAACACCTCTTTTTTATCTTCAAGAGAAACAGAGATAATAGTGGAATATTCCTAATTTAAAACAAAATGTATCTGACCTTCTCCTGGGGGTCTCCTGAATGGCACAAATATCAATGTTCTATTTACTCAGTGTTCAGAGCAAGATTGATATTGATACTTTTATAAAAGGAATTCAGTGAAGCACATTTAACCATTGCCAAAATAACATGCTGTTAGTTAGTCTCCTGTACACTGATGCAAGAGACAGTCTTGGATTTAGGAACCCAACTTAGAATTGCAAGTGTTAGAAAGAATGCTATTTTTTTCAAGTGCAGGATGTTTATAAAAAGATAGCGTAAGCTGGTGTCAGGTGCAAGAACACAAGAACAGAAAAATAGGGAGAGGTGGTGGCTTGGAGATTCATGTGAGCAGACACACTTGAGCAAATCTCCCACTCAGCAGATTGACCAAGAGACAAAAATCTCAATTTATACCAGAAATGATGAACAAAAAACGATCAGTAAACCCCCATGAACACCCAGACCACACGGTGGCCAAAAGATCTGGCGATCTTGACTGCTTTTTCTGGGAGAATTTGTGGATCCTCACCGTGGACATGTAGGACAGCATGGAGCTGCCATCTTTACCATGCGATTCACGTCCGGGAAGCCCCTCCGCATCGGAGAAATCTTCAGCGTACAAAAACACAAACCTGCGGGAAATCCTGCAAAACTTACACTTCAGAGATGATATTGCAGCATTGTTCTTCACATTTGGAGACCACTTTCCAAGACAAGCTGGCTTTGCTGATGACTGAAATAAGTCAAACAGGCCGCAGAGTAGCAGACCTGGAGGAAGACAGGGAGGGGATTCAGCAACAAAATGCAAATGGTAGAATTGATCCAAATGGCTACAAATTCGAGACTCACTCACATGATGAGACAGCTCGACGACATCGATAACAGGGGACAGCGGAATAATCTAAGGTTCTGAGGCCTCCAAGACCCATTTAACAGTGAGAAGATGTGAGCACCATCTTGCAGGAACTATTCAACGAGATCCTACAGAGAAAGACACACCGATAATTCTCGACAGAGCTCACAGGGTGAGCAAACCGAGAGGCCTACCGGCGGAATCCCCTAGAGATATAATGTGCAGAGTGCACTACTTTAGCCTAAAAGAAGATATTCTCCGTAAATCACGGTCAAGGTCTTTGAGGCCTATAACCAGTCTACTAAATGACAGAGAGATCAGATTGGGGCTACCCTTTCTCCCTGACAGTACTACACAAGGGACAAACAATTTCTATATGTTCAGCTGAGGATATACCAACATTCCTCAAAGCGTTGGGACTACTCTACATGGACATACTGGTTTGACTCCACTCATTCATCACAAACCTTATCGCTGCCTCAGAGACCACGGTGGCAGTCTACCATGAAGAGGAAGCGACCACTTACAAACCCAAGACTGACACAGGATTCACTGAGGAGCCGGGAACCAATGCACACCACCTAAATATAAAGATAAAATATTGGCTTGCTAATGCCTAATGTGCTCACTCTGGTACTTTGGTGATGAGGCTTTGATAGATAGCCTCATAGATAAAAAAGGAAAATAGGTGTAGCGCTGTATACATACATATAATAGGGATAAACTCAATAGGCTAATCGGGCTTCCAGATGAGAGCAATTCTAATATTTTTAACAATCAAAAATATTAGAATTGCTCTCATCTGGAAGCCCGATTAGCCTATTGAGTTCATCCCTATTATATGTATGTATACAGCGCTACACCTATTTTCCTTTTTTATCTCTTTTCATATTGATGTAAGTAAGAAAGATTACATCTAGGTTTATAGCAGCTTGTTTATTATATATTTTTTCGGACTAAAGAGTGTTATATTCAGTTATAGCGCCAGTACATTACTTGTATTTCTAGCCTCATAGATAACCCCACTCTGCTGGTGATGTCACAAGGAAAAAGGCAGCTTTCAGCATATATGGTGGGAGTGCTCCATAGTAGGGAAGTACTGGAGAGGGGTGAGGGAAACGATTAAGGGGGTACAGGGCCTATCCCTGACATTCGATGTACCGACGATGCAATTGCACCTAAAACCAAAATCCCCAAACTTCATCCTCTATTTTCTGCTTAAGACAGCAAAAAATAGAAGTGGCGGCGAATTGGAAGAAGGTTACTCAACCATCGAAGATGGCATGGCTATCTCGGGTAGAAAATTAAAGGGTGATGGAGGAAATAAGATGGTCCTTCACCAACAAAACACAGGTATATAACAAGATCTGGGAACCATGGAAAATCTATAAAGATTAACGCTAGAATCTTATATGAGGTGTCAAACGCATCTGGGAGGGAAACATGAGAAGACCCAACCAGATACAGCAGGGGAGCCTAGAAGTAAAGGGGTAGCGAGGCCCAAATATGCGGGTCCAAGATGTGGTTATCAAACCAATGGAAACACTAAAGGGAAAGTGCAAATGTACGCCAACAGAAGGATTTCTTGCCATCGAATACACCAAACATACATTAAATGAGTAAGGTGGAGGAGGAAAATAATGTCATATACACTTGCTGTACCAATTTTTATTTGTATTATGTTATCTTGTATTCTGCATCATATTATACTTTGTATTATGTTATATTTTATGTTGCACATTTGATATTATGTTATGATACAATATCACCTACGGAGGGAGGTAACACTGACGGAAACAAATAACACATGTACTCGATAAACCAATGTAGTTTTGGACACCACTACCTTATATAAAGGCTCATGGAAAAAGAGTTACCATTTACGATAAGCGGTTACAATGTTGAAGGATTGTATACAGCTTGTGTTGTACCTACCGTGTAATGGAACAAGTGTTATTGTAGAAGGATAACATGTACTGTAGCTTGTGATGTCCATCTGTGATGCAAACAAAAATAAAATGTAAAAAAATTTTTTATAAAAAAGAAACGAAAAATATTGTATGTTTAAAAATGTAAGTTTAAGTCTTTCAAAGCATGATTATAATCAATTATAATCAAGCCTACCGACCATTTTGTCTTTCAAGCTAATTCTTTAGCCACGTAATAAGAAATACAGAAGTAGAAAGCAGGACATGAGACTGACGCCCTGTAACATAAAATATATAGCTTTGTATGTCTAGGGGAATATTCACTAAGAATTGCATAGGTAAAAAAAAATTCCAAACAGAACCAAATTAAATTCAATAGGCTATTGTAAGTATGCAGTCAAACAAAAGGAAACCACCTTCTCCAATATTTGCATCGTGGGGTGGGACCATATGATACAAGTGAATATAAAAACGTAAAGTAAATATAACCTTCTCATTATTTACAACTTTAATTAATGGTCAAAACATTTCCTAGGTTGTATATATGTACAGCGCAGCAGCATATACTGGGCCCCTGTTCAGTAGAAATGCTTGCCATTTAAGCGCAGATCCAGAACCTAATCTTGGGAGGGGCACTAGTAGATTATTTAAAGAAAGAATCCAGGCACAATAACCGCTATAGCACTTTGTAGTGGTTATGGTGCCAGTAGTGCCCTCCTAGAGTAAGTAGTAAAACTGTTTAAAAACAGTTTGACAGCTTATCTGGAATCTGCTGGGATAGTGGCTGTAGAAGGGAATAAGGTGAGGGGTGCAATATGTGTCTGTGTGTGAGTGGTGGAGTGTGTGTGTGAGATGTGCAGTGTGTGTGAGGGGTGCAGGGTCCATGTGTGTGAGTGGTGCCGTGTGCGTGTGTGAGGGGTGCAGTGTGCGTTTGGGGTGCAGTGTGTGTGTGTATGTGGGGAAGCTTGTGCGCAAGAGGTACATTGTGTGTTGGGGAAGTGTGTGTGTGGGGGCAGGTTGTATGATGGGTACAGTGTGTTTGTGAGTAGTATAGTGTGTGTGGGGGGCAGTTTGTGTGAGGGGTAAAGTGTGTGTGGGGCAGTGTCTGAGGAGTACAGTTTGTGTGTATGGAGGGGCAGTGTGTGTGTATGGGGGGGCAGTTTGTGTATGTATGGGGGCAGTTTGTGTATGTATGGGGCAATTGTGTTTATGGCGGTAATTGTGTATATGTGGGGCAGTGTGTGTGTGTATGGGTGGAATTTTCTTGTGGGGTTGGGTCTGTGGAGGTATGAGGGCAAATTCATAAATATATAAAATAAATTTAATTAAAAATAATAATTTCCTTATCCCACAGCCCTGCTTACCTTTGCCTGGGAAGGGGGGATATTTGCTGCAATCCACGGTGGGGAGGCCCTGGTGGTCCTAGTGGTGAGAGTAAAATCTGGCAGCCTCAGGAGCTGCTAGGGTTCACTCTTGCGAGATTCAGAGTGTTGCCGTAGTAACCGCTGCAACGCTCCGAGCTTGCAAGAGGAGAACCTGGCGGAGCTGCAGGTTGGGAGAAACCTCTTATGAAATGCCTGTAAAAATTGGTGAATCCCAGAAAGCATTATGGCTCTTTGAAGTAGGCTATTTCAAAACAGTTTTCACATTACGAGAATCCATCTGGATATGGAAAGGGTTATGATGTATGCCAGAAAATCTCCTTGGTTTGTGTTGAACACACATTTCTCTAGCTTGGCATATAGCCCATGCTCATGGAGACATTGGAGGACTATCCTAACATGATGGGTCTGCTGTAACTGCGGCTGGTTCCCTTATTTACCACTATAATGTCTTAAAGCATAGAACTTAGCAAGGCTAACCATACAGATATCTTAGCCATAATTTTATATAGTTAGTGTAAGAGATCCTCTATTTAACATATATAAATAATTGAGAATACAATATAAAATAAGGATTGTCTTGGAAGCAATAAAGTTTTGTCTTTTTAGATATTTATTATATAAAAATATAAATATAGACATATAAAATCAATATAGCAGAGTTTATAAGATTAAACTAAATGCTTGCAAATATCATTAATAGATTAACATACCCTTCTGAACATGTCATCATATCAGCCTCTCTTTCATTTTAAGATGGAGCAGTGTCTATCTCCAAGTCTCTCCTCTGTTTTAACATTTAAAAGTGCACCTATTTATACCTTAGGTGTCTCCATTTTAGAGTTACCGTAGTTAATTTATGAAAGAGTAACTTTTTTACTTTTTTCATTTTAGGACCTCCCTTACCTTGGCAAAAATACAAGGCCATAACTAAAGGGTGTATACGTCATGGAAATTTTCCTGACTTAGTTCAAGATGGCATCTTAAAGTCCAGACATCCTTATCTACTTAAGGTTACCACAGTATATTGTGTACTGAAAGAGTCATAACATAGCCTTGAAGCTTGTTTATGCATTATTGTTATTGTAATTTGTCTGGGACAAAATGGCGCAAACATATTATGCACTGAGGTTATTGCTTAAAGAAACACCTATGAAAAACAATATGTTCCATTTCTAACCCCTTATCGGTTTGCAATATCTCTTAAAGTGCACAGTTTAAGAAATACAACATTTCATTCTAAAACTTGTAATATTTGCATTTGCCCATAACACTGCTGTTCTGTTGAATCAGGAAAGACTAAGATATTATCCAAATGTATCACAAGGGAGGTATCTAGACTGTTCCGGAAGACATCGTTGTGGAAGCTCTGGAAGATGGCCAGGTCAATGGAGATTCCAAATACCATAACAAAGTATTTAAAGTCCCATCTGACCCTCCCTTTTCTCCCTCCATTATATTGCGTAAATCAAGAATTAATTCCCTTCTGATTCATTGAAAAGAATTGTTCATTGTAATGCTTGGGGAGTATTTTTTTTTTTTTTTTTTAACTTCACCTCAAGCTCCAGGATAAGCCCACAAGTTTTTTTCCAACCTCTGTTAGATCATACAACTTGCATCCGCTCTGCTGGAACACTTTATGGATCGCAGTATATGTCAGGTTACTTGCTGCCACCATATTGGGACTCCCACTCTCCTCATTTTAGTGCCTTCTTAGGT